ACCGGGCCCTCTGACCACCATCAGTAGACAATGCAGGTGAAGTGTCTTGCCCAAAGACACAACAACACTGAAAGTCGGGAGTCGGGGCTTGAAGCCTTCAACCCTTCGATTTCAGGGCAAACTCCTACATCCAACGCCCCTGTCGATCCTCTCCAGGATGGAGTCACATCCCAAAATGAATGGATCAGATGAAGCTACAATGATGAGAAAAAAGCAGAGAGAACATAACGTTAGAGATCAAACTAACAAATACTGTAGAATGGGAAAATAGAGATACAACAAAGCAGAACGATCAAGTCATAAAGTGGTCCCTATGTCCTCCAGCGGTCTAAGTCTATAGATGCATAACAACAGAGTTGGCACAGGGGGTGCAGGTGGTGCAGGTGGTGCAGCGCTTAGCCCAACAACCGATGTACGGAGGCCTTAGTCCTCGACGCGGCCGACCCAGGTTCGAATCCAACCTGTGGTCCTTTGCCGCATATCTCTCCCTCTCTCATACCCCCTTTCCTGTCAGCCTACTGTCAAACAAATTAGCCACTAGTGACGCAAAAACTCAACAAAAAAAAAAAGGATACCCTGAGCCACTCTTAACTATACTGTAATCTTTATCAAAGACGTTTTAAGCCTGCTCCTAAAAGTAGACAGAGTGTCTGCCTCACGGACTAAAACTGGTAGATGGTTCCACAAGAGAGGAGCCTGATAACTGAATGATCTGCCTCCTATTCTACTTCTAAATTCTAGGAACTACTAATAAACCTGCAGAATGAGAGAGACATTCTGTCTGAGGAACATAAGGAACAATCAGATCTCTGATATCAGATGGAGCTTGGCCATTTAAAGCTGTATATGTGCTGTTTCCTTAATTCCTAAAGAAAGCCAAAGCCTTTCTAAAAGAATATTGTGATCAACTGTATCAAATGCATTTCTAATCAGAAACAAAACTCTTGTTTTAGTTAAACAACACATTTAAATCTATCTTTAAAAAAAGTTAAATTTTAGGCCTAAGTTTAACATATGTTTTACTATAACATAATATTCATGTATATCTGATAGGACAAAAGTGAATTAGAGCAGAAAATCCTAAAACGGTCCAGACTGGAATATTTAGTGAGAGTGAGCTTTTCATTTTATTTTCCTATTTCTTCTTGAACTGATGCTGAACCCTCTGACACTGTTCACCATTAGAATGAAAAATGTACATTTCTACCACCTGTATCACTGTCCACCAACTCCTACACTTCCATCTCTCCTGGTTTCAGCCATCTTTTCACACTGTATATCTATCAACGCCTCCTTTTCTGTCTGTTTTATGTTTCTGACCTCAATGAACTTCCTCCAGACGAAGCCCTGTTCATTCAGGGCGCAATGTGAACTTTAGAAATAGTTATATCTTATTTCTCATCTGTTGTAGCCAGTTAAATAAATTCTATATTTCTACTAAATTTGTTTTTTAGATGATTTGGTAATAAATAATAATAAAAAAAACAAAAAACGATCCATATGACACAACTGCTTTAAGGTGTAAACTAAATCTAATTTATTTGTAAGATATATTTATGAAAAATGTAATTAAATTATTGTTATTATATTCATCAATTAATTCAATTAACAAATCAGAAAACAGAAACCCTGAGAGTGATGATAATAAGAGGAGAACCAATATTACAGGGAACAATGGGACCAATAAGGAAAGGAAAAACAAAAAAACAATTAATGGTGGAAAACAGAGAGCTTACTGGGCACCACCAAATGTCTCCCCAATAGAGGAAGATATGAGGAATGGAAGTTTGAAGGGTTTTCCTTTTGAAGGATTGGATTTGATCACATCATAAAGCATAAATAAAAAGAAACCCAAACTATGAGAGATTACATATACAGATTGGTATGTATCTGTGAGAGTGTGGATCCCCTGCTTTGAATGCATCCAAGCCCTCGCCGATCTGCAGTTGGAAAACCATACATTTCAGGTGCATAATTTTCCTCCCCAGGGAGGTAATGCAGAGCACCCTCTGGGACGGTGATTACTAGAGCGAGGAACAAGTGGCTGAGCTACAGCTGAGTGAGCAGAATGATTGGAGGAGCAGACTCATTAACGCAGAATAATTACATCCAGAAACACGGGGCCATTGAAAACCAACAATAGGAAGGAAAACAGACTAGATATGAAAAAAAAACATGAAAATAATTCAAATCCCAAAGCTAAGGAATCAACAGAAATACAACAATCATTGGGAACTGCCTCCACAGACTGGCTCTCACTCATTTAAATGATTAAATGAGATTCCTAATTATTTAAATTTAGAAGAGCAATGATGACCAGGCATATGTTAAAGTGCAGAGATGGGAAGTAACAAAGTACAAATACTTTGTTACTGTACTCAAGTAGATTTTTCTGATATTTTTACTTTACTT